AGCCCAGCTCCAGGTTGAGCTGTTGTTCAGCATCTTAGCTGTGGAGGGCAGTGTCACTGGCCCTCTTATGTGGGATCCGAACCGGGGCCCTCTGGCATGCCAAGCGAGTTCTTAACCATTGTGCCACTTGGCCGGCCCTCCCTTCTGATTTTTAATGGTCACACATGGGTGTGGGACCAGCCCATTCCATGTTTCTGTCCCTCCTACGAGTCTCAAGGTGTCTGTCTTTAGTTGTAGAGCTTCTGTTCAGCAAGACTTCAGGTGATTCTCAATGATGGTTCTTTTGTAGTTGTAATTTTATTGTTTGTAATTTTGATGTGGTTGTGAGAGAAGGTAAGTTCAACGTTTACCTACTCTGCCATCTTGACCAACACCCACGGGTTTATACATTGTTTACTTATTCATGGTCTCTTCTTCTTCTGATAGTAAGGATGCTCCACGAGGGACCTCGTCTAGCTTGCATTTCAGGGGTCAGAACAGGCTTAGGAGTCACTCAAAGGTGTTTATGAAAATAATTAACCAATCAATCCCTCCTGTAGAATACTGAGCCCTTCCTTATTATCTATCAGAACTAACCTTTCTGACTTTTAGGATGTACCACTAATTCTGTTTGTTACTGATCTTATTAATCTCACTTCTCTGCCTCCTCAGGATGGTTTTTGTTCACCTCACCTTGAGGAATACAAAACTGAAAAAATCCTGTGTTGTAGCCAGCTATGACATCATCATCTTGGCCTCTGTGTCTTGTACTTGCTATTTTTGTTGCCTGTAGTGCTTTCCTCTCCTTCAATCTTTATCTTTCTTTCCTTTCAAACATTGCCTAAGGCTCCTTCTTTATGTTTCCACCTGGATCCCACTAAAGCACAAAGAAGGGTTTGCTCCACTAGTCTGTACTTGGGGGCAGGCTACTTTAAGTTGTTAAGTCTGGATGACTATTATTAGGGTCATTAAATAGGAGTTTGAACTGGATCAGTGGTTTTCCATCCTGATTACACAGGCCAAAAGATCCAATTATCTCAGAGTGGAGTCCTGGTGTCATTCTTTTTCAAAAGGCTTTCTAGGCAATGTGTAGCCCCAGACTAGATAACCCACCAGGTAGGTCTCTTCTATCTCTGAGGTCTCACGGTACTCACAATAGAAATAGATATTTTAGCTTTTTGGAATCTTTGCTCCTTTTCCTTTTCCTTTTGCCTTTCCCAGATTCAAACCTTCTACACTCTCCCAAAAGCCTTTTCTTCCTACAAGGAGTAGATATCAGGGTTCTGAGGAAAATCAGGGAATGGAAGCAAAAAAGATTCCAAAGAAAGAGGTTTAGATTGTTTTGCTGTAACTTATTCAGTGGTGATCACAGGGAGGTGGCAGCAATGTGGACAACTGCAAAGAACATTAGTTCTGGGCCTGCCATTGATATCTATGTGGCTATGGGAAGGATTTTACTCCTGAGCCTCTGTTTTACTATGTTAAAATAAATATGATAATTCCTATTCACTGCACTTGGGCAGGGATTTCACCTTCTCTGAGAGGCCTTGTCTGACCACCCCTCCCTGCCTCATTATTGTTATAACATCTGGTTATCTTCATTTCTAAATCATACTTTAGATGTTAGTATATCTAGACTACAAATTCCACAAGAATATAGACCATCCAGAGTCAACACAATAAATATTTATTGAGTAAAGGTCTACACAACTTACCTGCACTGCAATGTGCTTGAGAATACAGCAAATGAGCTAATGTATGTAAAATGCTTCATGAACTGTAAAATTCTACTTAAAAGTGGGGCCTCATTATTTTGAATATTTTAAAGAAACAGCAAATATTACCTGCAGATTCGGGTGGATAATAGCAGTAATTTCTCCACTTTCATTCCTGGGATAATCAACTTTTTCCATTATTTTATAGACTTCAATAGTACAAGGAGGAAATTCTTTTCCTATGGCAAAAACAATATATATAAATAGCAACTGAAAAAAAGGAAGTTCATACTTTAAGGGAAGAACAACAACAAAAAAGTGAAGATAGAAAATTACATATTGAATGTCAATTGTAATTGGAAAAAAAAAAAGAAGACAAACAATCACAGGGAGAACACACTATTTCAGTTAAGGATGTTCATAAACAACACAAAGCCAGAAGATGTTCTCAAGTTATTCCTATCAACACACTGTCCCCAAATACACTGATGGACACAGGAAGGAAACTAAACTTAAAAAGCCAGCGCGGGAGAAAAAGAGACTAGGACTGAGAGTCAGGACACCTGTGCTCGAATATTCCAGCTGTGTAATCTTGAGCAAGAGGCTTAATTTCTTGAGGCTCACTTTCTTTACCTGTCAAACAAAGGTTTTGAATCAGCTTATCTTGGAAGGCCCTTCCAACTCTGACATTCTATGATTGCATATGCCCAGGAGGACTTCCAGCAGGTTAGGTGACTTCAGCATCACGCTCCTTCTCTCAACCAAGTACATAAAACACTTGGACAGCTGCTGAGCTGGGAGATCTTGGAATGCAGGAAGCCTGCCAACAGTGGAGTCTAACTTCTAGAGATGCAGCACCATTAAACACCCCCACGCCCAGAAACTGGGAAAAGGAATAATTTGCATGTATACCAGGCAATCTTTGAGCAAACAGGATGAACTTTTACGCACTGTAGGGCCCATCGTGTGCTATGGTTGCAACTCGAAGGAAAATCTTCTTTGGCCCTTAGAGTAGAAAATGCAGTCAGGGTTGGAATGTGGACAATTGTGATCACTTCTGTATCAGTTACCTTTTGTTTCATAACACACTACCCCAGCATTTAGGGGTATAGAACAATGACCCTTTAATTTAGCTCATGATTCTGTGGGTTGGTTGGGCAGTTCCTCAGGTTTAGGTTGGCTTGGGTGATTTCTGATTGGCTTGCTCATGCATTTGTGGTGAGCTGGCAGGTCAGCTGGAGGCTGGATGATCTAAGATGGTCTTACTCTTGTGTCTGGCATTTGACTGTCAGCTGTAGCTACAGGATTATTGGCTAGGGTGTTGGAGTTCTCCACCTCATAGCTTCACATTCTCCAGCAAGATAAGGTGGATTGAGTCACATAATGGAAGTACAGGATTCCTAGGGCAACGAGAAAGCAAGCTCCAATGTGCAAGTCCTTTTCGAGCCTCTTCTGTGGCACAAGTCATGTGGCCAAGCCAGGTTCAGGGGATAGGGAAATAGACTCCATCTCATGATAGAAGGATCTAAAACATCACATAGCAAGGACATGAATGCAGGGAAGGGAAGAATTTGTGGTATTTGTACAATCTACTACACCTTTCAAGGTGAAGATGGAAACTTATCAGATGTCATCTGTTTAAACCAGAAGGTCCATTGGGAGGAAAGCAAAAAGTGATGGAATACAAAGGAGTATAGTTTTGCTACTTAGAATCTCAGAGTTAGAAGGAGCTTCGAATGCCTAACTTCCTTGATTCTTGAGCATTCTCTATCTCTTTCTGGCCAAATGGTCATCTTACTCCTGTGTGAACAGCCACACATAGTATGGCCCATCCCATTGTTGGTCATCTTTATTAACTGGAAATTTCTGTCTCTAGGTAACTTTATCCCATTGATTCTATTCTGCCCTCTGAGTCACAGAAAATGTCCAATTGCTTTCCAATATAACACTTCTGAAAATCTAAAATAAAATTGCCCTTAAGCCTTCTTTTTGCCAGTCTAAGTATTCTTAGTTCCATCAGTCACTACTCATATGTGGTCACATCCATGAGGATATATATGAAGGTACTTTTAAAACTGAAGTTCTATGTGCATCTTAGGGATTGTTCTTATTGTGGTTTCCAAACTCTTCAAAATTCTCAACTCTCACCTTGACTAACCTCAACTTAAAAGATGTTCCTTCTGAAATATGGGCTTAGAATTTATTCACAGTTCTCCAAGTGTTGGTTATCTAAGGCCAAAAGAAACCATCACCTCCCTCTTTCTGGGAATTTTTTTTTAACATAAAAGCAAATTTTGTTCCTGATGTATGTAACCTAAAACGTTTGGTTTAGACAATTGTTTAAGATTCTCAGGACTTTTCGTATCCACCTCCTGAACCAGATATTTTCCTGCAGGCTTCCTGCTACCTGCAATTATATAAAAGCATGTCACTTATGTTCTTATGCAAGTTACTAATAACGTTGAGTAGCATAGAGCCACGGATGGAGCTCTCTCATACATTTCTAGCATCTTTTCTCTAGGTGGTTATGATCAGCATTCTTTGGTCAATGGTGCCCTTTCCACATGAGTTAATAATCGTCCAAGCTGGATAATCTAAATTAATAGTGATTTAAAATTTTTGAATTACAAAATCCTTTGCTTAAATGAAATGTGACATGGAAGAGCAATAAAACAGACAGAGGAACTGCTCTAGTTAAAGCAAAGTGGAGGTGCTGTCCTGGAGCTATTGGACAACTACTAGATTCCCCATGCCTGTGGTAAAAATCTGTAGACTGTGATTTGAAAACCACATTTTCCTACTCAGGTGTGTGGCCTTTTACTTGGGTGCATCATGTCTTAACGTATTTTATTCCCACATTTACTCTTTGAAAGGTTTCTTGTGAATAAGTGGTGACCTTCCCAATACCAGGCCCATTAGACAGGATAGAACCTGTCCTCAGACAAATGTGGTGAAAACCTGACTTTCAGTCTTTATAATTTTGGAGTCAAAGTATTCCCAAGCACAGAAAAACTCCCTGTGATCTTAGTAGGGTGCACAATCCGAGGTTAATGAGTTCCACTCTCCATGGACACTGAACTGTTCACCAGCTTTGTCACTATAATGACCCGTTCCTCAACAATGTTTGAATTCAGCCTGTTGGAGTAATTACTTACACAGGAACTTTCTTTGATTTTATTTTAAATATAACTTAAAATATTTTTAAGTAACGTTATTTTTTTATAATTAATAAACTTTATTTTTTGCTGCAGTTTTATATTTACCAAATAAACAAGCAGATAGTACATAGAGTTTCATATATCTACCACATTCAATTATTTCTTTTCTTTCTTTTTTTTTTTTAAGCTGAGCCATCCTGCCACCTGTTGGCAGCTCAGCGGCTGCTCAGCTCGGTCCGGGAATTGAACCGCTGTTGCTCAGAGCTCAAACTCTTGAGCGAGCTCTTAATCAACTGAGCCACTTGGCCGGCCCTCTCAATTACTTAATTACACAAATAATACATGAATACATCATTCTTCTTGAAAATAATAAAAACGAAATTAACCTGGTTTTCCCCTTTCCTCCCCAGTTTGGTGTGTTTTATTCTAGAGCTTTTTCTGTTAATATATATGAACAGATATATGTTCTGTTAATGTATATTAACATATATATGTATATGTAGTCTAGCAATATTTATTATTATTATTATTGTCTATTATTATTTTGAAGGAAATTGGTATATTGCATGTTTTGGCCTGCAACTTGCTTTCTTTAATTACAATGTATTTTGAAGATCTCTTCATGTTAGTTTAACTGTTTACTGACTGAGAGATATTCAGGCTGTTTCTATTGTTTCATTGTCACAAACAATGCTGTGACAATGACCCTTGTATATAACACATTGGGTGTGTATGTGCTTGTGTTTCTTTGAGATGGGGAATTCCTGGGTCATAGAATTTGTACATTTTCAAAAGTGGATACTGTAAAATTATTCTCTAGTGTGTCTTTACCATTCTTTTTCTACAACCTTACCAACACTTAATATTATCAGATTTTAATTATTTTCCTACTCTAATGGGAGAAAATGGTTTCTCATTTTAATTTGCATTTCACTGATTACTAGCGATATTGGACATCTTTTCATATGTTTATTGGTCATTTGTATTTCTTTGTATTTTAAAATGGAAATCAACAAGAAAATGAGAACTTTAATTTGTAGGTGCTTTTCTTGAATGTGTTTATTCTGTCCATTGAGGAATGGCTGAAGTGAATGAAAAATTTTAAAAGCACCTAATATCATGAGCATTGCAAATTTGACCTAGGTTATAATTGCTCTTTCAGTGTTTAGTGATTAAGTCACTATGTGTGTTCATCATATCTCCCTTTTCTGATATATTTACACACACACACACACACACACACACAATTAAGGTAACAACTCCCACCTACTACTTACCTTTATTGAAATTATGTATAAAATCAAGAGCATGTTTAATTATTTTTCTCATTTGATTCAAAATATCAGCTCTCAGAATCCCTTGAGGCTGGGGACCAACTTCTATACCTAGGCAAGAGTGGGAGACAGTCACATTTATATAAGTATTAGAATATATCATAAAATTGAGCATTTAAATATATCAAGATCTAGAATCCCATTATTAAAAATTGGTAAAAAGTTAGACCATTTAACATCATAGAAAATATTTGAGACATATTGTTAGGCAAAAAAATAAAGCAGAATATTTACATGTACAAGTTATATGCATTGTGAATACAGACTGGAGAGAACATGGGGAAAAAATCAGAGTTGTGTTACAGTTGCAAGATCTTGGGGTCTTTTTTTCTTGAAATTTCCTTCAATATTGTCTAAACATTTAAAATCATAATATAGTACAAGAATAGACAAATATATACTGCAAAATAAAAAGTTGCCAAACATATCAATAGATATTCTAGCTAATAGCAGCATTACTCCACAAACATTATAGACCAAGTTTGCTTTTTTTTTCTTTTCTTAAAGATTTTATTGGGGAATTGGGGGAGAGGAACAGTGTTGGGGAATCGGGGAAGGGGAACAGACAAGTTGCTGTCCTTTTTGTTCTTCAGTTTAGTTGTGGAGGACGTCGCTTCACTGGCCCATGTTGGTATTATCATTGCACTCTTCCTGGGTGAGGCAGTCGCCCACTGGCCATTGGATGGCTGCTCAGGGTGGCTCACGGCAGCTCATGAAAGCTCATGCCAGCTGTCGGCCAGCCCCACTGCAGCCTACCCCGTCGCCGACGACTCATGGCAGTCCAGCTCCAGGTCGAGCTGTTGTTCACCATTTTAGCTGTAGAGGGCGCAGCATCACTGGCCCACATGTGGGATCTGAACCGGAGTTCTGTTGCTCAGAGCTGGCGTCCCAAGCCAACTCCTAACCAACGTGCCACTCGGCTGGCTCAAGTTTGCTCTTTTAAGGTTTAAAAATTTTGTGCTTTACTTGGTGTCACAGAGAAACCTTATTGTTAAACAGTGGTAAATAATTACCTAGACTTGTATATTTAGCTTGCTCCAACTGTTCCCTTGGTTATGCACCAAAAGTATCAATAATTGAATAACCAAGATAACTTTAAATTTGCTTGCATCATTTGACAACTTGTTCTTAAATTAAATTGTTCTTGGAGAAATCATCTGAGATTTAGCTTAAAAGATTTTAAGTTGTGACAGGAATTTTAATGATTATAACGTACTCTGCAAACATGCTAATAGGTCACTCAGAAAAGAATGGAATATAGAAAAAAAAACAAAAAATGAGACTATCTACCTGAGAGGGTGTGTGAGTGCAAGCTTACATGTTGGAAGTTACCAGAAAGTAAAGATGAGTTCATAGCCCAGTAACGGACAAGGCAAACAAGTGAATTGATAACAGTTTAGGGGATGCTACTGCAAAGAAGGTGCTAAGTGAGACGTTGGGAGATTTTTCATGGGTCTTTTTTGTTTTTGCACAACTTGCCTGCAAGACACTGACTGCCTTGGTTCCAAATTACTTTTGAAGAATGTTTGTATAGTGAACAGTATTGGAAGATAGGGATGATGTCTTCCTTGGAGCAAAAGGCAGTCATGTTCATTGTGCACTATAAAAAATTTCAAGTTCCCTCAACTCATTGTTTCTTTCTTGGAATGCAGAAAGCTGCTCAACCAAACTGAGGAAATTGGATATAGTTTGGGCCTGCCGGGAGTTAGTTTGCTTATTACTTGACAATTATAAGCCACAATAAGATAGGTAGCTGTAAATATTCCTTAAAAAAGAACTTTCTCAGAGTTTTATCCAGGACACATTTTGTCTAGTTATGACAACGGGAAATATGACTTACCGACAGGATACTTGGCTATAGAACGAGTGGTTGCATATTTGAGTGAAGGATGCTCAATGAGATAAACATAGCAGGGGAATGGAGCTAAAGAAGTCTGAAAAGAATTAGAAACATCTTTCTTATTATGTGAAGACCATATGCTTTGCTATCTTTCCTGCTAGAGAGTCAATAATGCCTTCAATATGTTTTACTACATTAATTAAGATTAGTAAGACAGCTTTATGAAACATACCCTAAAACCCAATATTGTTATTATAGCTTTAAAAACTTACAAATGAATTACACATGAAATTGAATTATACATAGCTTTCTGGGTGAAATGTACATTAAAATTCTCCAGAACCATGGTCAAAGAATATGAAATAAATTTTCCTCCTGAATGGATTTGGTTATTTTTGTTTTCCACACTGGTTACACTTATTACTTAGCTTAGTATTTGCTCTCTTAAAGAATTCTGTTTCTACCCTCATGGTCCAGGTCTCTGCACAGGTTGGGTAACTCCCCCTACCTCCACTTATCTCAATGAGAATTCCAGACAGGCCTCTTAGTTTTGATAATATTAGCCATGCTGCTTTGTGCTCGGCAACCAAAGCAGTCAGCTCTCCTTCAATGAGCAATAAAGGAAGTGATCTCCTACTAGAACTACTATCTAGTTATTGCCAGAAACCCAAAGGAAACAAAAATAATAGTTAATCTTTACTATCTGCTAGGTATCAGGCTCAATGCTATAAATACTTTACCTCATTTAAGGCTTTTAACAGCCATATGGGGTAAATGTTATTATGTCAATTTTATAAAATGAGGAAAGCAACGTTTGGGGAGTTGAGTATCTTGTCCATGGTTAGTGAATGAGAAAACCAGGATTCGAACCCAGGTTCTCCTGGCTACATGGATCAAACTCTTTCCACTGAATCATCTTAGCTCTCTGGAAGGAAAGATATCCATTTTACAGAAATACAGATCATTATTTGTGTTTTTGCTTGGTTGTTCTTTTCTAGCAATTTTTCTCTAGCTGTAGGCACTGGATTGCTGAATTTTTCATCTTGTAGATTTCTGGCCTTAAAATGATTAGCTATATGAAGTACTGAAAAATCAGATGTCTATTGGGATGTCTGAATCAAATGGAGAGAAGGGCAGGACTAAGAGAGCCAATCTTTTCATCATTGGTCTTTAGTCAACATTGAGTGTCTATTTCTTAGGCTTTCTAAAACTGTAATTGAACTACTTCAACCCCACCATGTTAAATTTTGGTATTAATTTACTCATTTCCTCTCCTTTTCTCCTGCCTGTCACCACTGGCCTCTATTCTGGTGCTCATCTCACTCCCCCATTTCTCTTGGACCCTCCCTCCTGACCCTTTTCTGGTTGTTTTACATCTATAATTGACTTAAAAGTACAAGTCTTATGTTAACTTATAAATTAATAACATTGACATTACCTGAATATAATGAAACATCTGAATTAAAAAGTCATTCCTGGAATCTTCAAGAATAAGAGTACACCCCATATTAGAAGTAGTGTTGTGAAGGTCAAAAATAATGTCATAGGAATCTTCACTATCTTTTGGGCCAAATAAGTGATTTATTTCTTGAGCCCTTCTCACTTCATATGGCAAATCCTCTGACATTTTTTTGCTGTTATTAACAGAAAGAAAAAGATTAACAACATCTGTGGCTAAGATTACATAAATATGCAATAAGAACACAGTGTATAAGGAACCAGTTGCCAAACTTTTAATGTGAAAAATTTGTGAGTGAAGTGGAAACTTATTTGAAAACTTTACAAATTAAAAATTACATTTTTTTTACTCCATTTGATTCTATGTAATGTTGGGTTGGCATGCTTGCAAATAATAGTTCATTTATGTGGCTGGCCAAAGGAAGGACATGTCAAACAGAACTTACCATTTGACTTCAACTTTGAACAAAACTAATCCATTAATTTAATCAACAGTTTCTTAGTAGTTATGTGCACTAGACTATTATGGGGCTAATCAAATGAGCCTTTTTTCTTTTTGCTCTCTAGTTAACGCTAGTGCACAAAATAGTCAAACTTAAATAACGCTCACTTATCTAATTAGGGATTCTTAATTGAGGTCCAGGAACTACTAGTGGTCCGGGGACAAGTTTTACAGACAAGTCTGTAAACTCTGAAAAAAATGAAAATTTTTGTCTCCACCTGTCCCCTCCCCCACTCCAGCAATGGTTAGGATACACTTTTTTTCTACACATGATGATGATTTAAATTTATTTTTTATCATTATACCTCTATAATTCCATCTGTGTATTTCTATTTCCTGACTATTTTTGCTAGTATCTTCAAGAGACCTAAGTCTGCACCTAGGTAATTTCTGCCTGGAATGCAATCAAGAAGGTGGAGCAGCCATTTTTTTACTAGGAAGCAAAAACTATGAGGGTATAAACTGCATGCTAAGGATGGTGCAGTGAAGAGAAGGGATCTGTGGCGTTGATGACATTACTGAGTCACTGTATCCCTGAACCTACTATTTGTGAGAAAGAAACCCTTATTTGTTTAAGCCACTGTTTTCAGTTTCTACCATATGGACCAAACATAGTTCCTAATTGATACATATGCATTTTTAAAAAAATAGATTTTATTAGGGAATTAGGGAAGGGGAACAGCCAAGTTGTTGTCCTTCAGTCTTAGTTGTGGAGGGTGCAGCTAGCTCAGCTCCAAGTTCAGTTGCCATCCGGCCACCCGTCAGCAGCTCATGGCCACTCAGCTCACGGTGCCGTGTTCAATCTTAGATGCAGGTGGGCACAGCCCACCATCCCATGTGGGAGTCAAACCAGCAACCTTGTTGTTAGGAACATGTGCTCTCACCAGTTGAGCCATCCTGCTGGCTGTTGGCAGCTCAGCGGCAGCTCAGCTTGGGAGCAGCTTGGGCGCAACTCACTGGCCCATGTGGGAATTGAACCGGTGACCCTGTGGCTCAGAGCTCATGCTCTTCATCAACTGAGCCACTTGGCCAGCCAGATATATATACGTTTTAAAAGGTAACTCATGAAACAACAACTCCATGAGGTCCTCTCATCCCCATCTGATTTGCTTCTAAGTCTGCCTCATGTGAGTAAACCACTAGCCACCCAGTTGCTCAGAGTGAAGGCTTGAAGTCTTAAAAGATAATGAACACTTTGAGTTTTCATGCCTGGAAATCCATATCCCAAAGAAGAGTCCCAAGGGTGGAGCTGAAAAAATAGGCAGAGGCAAGATCCTGAAGGGCACATCAGCTATACTAAGTTACTTAAATCTATTCTGGATAGGAGATTTTTGCAGAATTTTCAGCAGGGGAGAGACATCCTAAGATTTCTATGTTAGAATGACCCCCATGGCTTCTACCATATAGCGAACTGGTGGCAGGAATGATTGGAGTAAGGCTGGATGCAGAAAGATTCTCCAGGAGGCTACTCCATCTGTCCACAGAAGAAACAAACTAAGGTAGTGAAAATGGAGAGGAAGATGGGATTTGCGAAACACTTGCAACTATTCAATACTTGAATAACTGTGAAGACTTAGTGCTGACCCACTAGATGTGGGAAATGAGGAGCAAGGAAGGTTCTAAGATGATTTTCATACGGGATTTGTTGGGTAGCGGTGCTATCAATGAGATGGGGAATACAGAAAAAGTAGCTAATCTGGGACAGTGAGGACAGGAGAAGGTAACTAATCTTATAAATTTCTATAATCACCCTAAGAGAGAACTGTTTAGCCTCTAAATAGTGTTAAATGTAAGAAATAGAACATGAATTTCATTTAAAAGACTGGTCTCTTTGAAATGCATACTATTGAGTGATCACAATAAGAAAACTCACCCTAATCCACTTCAGATTTGTTTGGGACATTAATAAGTCAACAAAAAGAGTTATTCTTCAACAAGTTCTTACTTGTAATATGAGTTAGTTAATAGCTATTTTAGGTGAATAGACAAACTTTGTGTTGACATAACCTCAGCCATAAAGATAAAGCATTCCTGAAATTAAAATGAATGCTAGTGAAAATATGATTTGATACACAAAGTATGACTAATGTATAATTGCCCTGGGGAAAAATCTATCTCATAAAGTGAGGCATATTTATACTAACAGTGGTAGCCATCTTTTGATCTGTGGTGAGCTTAAATTTAAGTAACTCACTAAACTCAAATTAGGGTTTATTAGAAAATGAGTGCATAAAACAGTGCTGTTCGTTGTTCCTGTCCCCGTCTTAAATCTTAGCTAATAGTCCGTCCACCCCCTGAGGGTAGAAACTGTTTTTGTACACAACGTTGTACTCCCACAGTACCTGGCACAGTGCCTCGTGAAGGGTAGGTGTCTAGCAATATTTTTAGATAAACGAAAGAAAGAAGTGGTAAAAAGAAAATACTTAGATGCCTATATATCTATAGCAGTAACTATAATGATGTAAACAGAGGCAAAAATAATTCATAAGAACATACCTAGATTGTCATGGTTGCATACTTTCATTAAACAAATATTAATAAAAACATTACACTTTTCTTAACTAGAACTTTATGCACTACCATAAACATAGTTGTATAAAAACATAGTAGTGAATCACCTAGAAAGCTAACAAAAACGTACCCGAGTACAGTGGCCAAACAATAATTTAATGCAAAAGACTGTTAAATTTGTTTCTTTAGAGATATGATTAAAAAATAAAAACCTTTGTTATTTATTGTCTCAGTCTGTATAGAATACATTTAAGAAGAAAATCAGTTAAGAACAGTTCAATGCTTAAAAATGTTTATAAAAGAGCATATGAATGCCCAGTTTAGAGAACTGAGTGATTCGTAATGGAGTGTGATTAAAAGTGAAAGTGATCTTATTCACAATAGCGACTATATGTATGGACATGAATAACATAAACATATACATGTTCTCTCCTACACATACTACTTTACACACACACACACACACACACACACACACACACCACACCACACCACAAAATATAGTCTTACCTAAGATTTTCAGGGTCAAAAACTCGATTCAGGTCACAGTCAATATATCTGGTACACTTCTTCACTGCTCTTGGGTTGGTGATAAATGGTTTCACCTCTATCCCTGTTCTCTGAATTTCAGCGCCATTCTCCAGCCAGTGCTTAACTAAATATACTCCTGTTAGCTCATTCCCATGAGTTCCTCCAAAGATAGCAACCTTTTTTATAGGATCTTCAAAAACGTGACAAGACGTCATTTTATCTAATAGTTTTATCTGATGTCTGCAATTCAGAAGGGAGATTAAAAAAAAACCCAACTTAATTTCTTAAGAAAAGTTTAGAAATGTAAACCTAAATGAGACTTTAACCGAAGTACAAAGTGCAGAGTTCTCTTGAGTGAAGTATATTTTAATTTTCTGTTACAAGTTCTGAGCCCTGTTTATTATAGGGCACTCCCTTCTTTAGCCCTGCCCTTTACCATATTTGGATTAAAATATGCAGAGATCAACTAGAGTTACAGCCTTTTGCTTTAACTTCTAACTCCCTCAAATGGTTGGTAGATCTAAATGCAATAATAAATTAGCATTTCATACTAATATAAAAATTGTTTTCTATTCATCTAGATGTCATCTAATGGTGCTTTCATGACTGTTTGTAGTAATAAAAAACAATTTAAACTTTTCTAAGCCACAAAAATAAAAAAAATAAAGTGGCTCATCATATGCATGTTATTATTCAATATTTACATTTCCACTTGCATTTAAAAACATTTCTTCTCTGAAATAAGTTCAGGTACTTTTTCATCATCTGAGGGCATTTGAATCTCATCTTTAGAAACAGGCAAAGGCGGATAGAGCCTCAGAGACCTCTGGAACGGCATCTTTTCTTTATGCCTTTTTTTTTTTTTTGTCATCAGAGACACAAGAACCAAATCAATGATCACTGGGACTTAAAAAGCTCTTTGAAATATGCTTTAATTTCTTTCTCATGAAGTTTTTGGTAATTCTGTATCAACTTCCTTGGGCATCTTTCTCACTTTTTTGCCTCAATACTAAAGAAAAAACATCTGTTAGTAATTTTCAAGTTTTTGTAATGCCTGAAAATGCCATGGGGCATGCTATATATATACTAACCAAATTATATGAGTTTATGTAGACACAGTAAGCCTAATTTTCTGGCAGCAGAAGCTCTCCACTGGAATGTGTTATTCAAAAGGGGGTCTTGTTAGGGGAAACTATCCAGACAGAATACTAAAGTGATTATATTCCTTTGGAGAAATGATTCTGAACCAAATCCAGTTTTATTTCATGCTCAGTCATCTAGAAAGTCAAATATGTTCAAGTACTAGAAACACTGTGCACTAGTAATGCCAGATTGTTTGACAGAGGTTCAAGAAGAGTAAGTACTTCATTGCAACTGCAGAGTAGTGTAATCTATAATGTCTTTCTGCATATGTTATCTCAGGTTATTCAGATATCCACTTTATAAGATAGGGTGGGTTAGGTATTGACATCCCCATTGCAGGGGTAAAGGAAAAAGAGGTTAATTAACTTGCAGTTTCCTCAGCTACCAGGAGAAAACTAGGCCTTGGACCCAGGATTCCCGATTTTAATACCAGTGTTTTTCACAGAACAATAGGGTGCTTCCTGTTATTCTTGGCCTTCCCCAAAGTTCTAATTTGCTCCTTTGGAATTCACATAAACAGTCACTACAGTGTGCTCAGGAAAAAACAAGCATACAAACAAAATACAGGATGGAAATATAAAATGTGAATACTTCAAAACATTTAATACACCAATTCCTATGTTCTTCCTTATAATGGAGAAATAAAGCAAAATAATAAAATCTACATTTACACATTAAAATAACTGTTCCAACCTAAGAAAAAGCCCCATGTAACCTTTGATTTTCTACCCACATCAATGTACACTGAACACTACACTGTAGAGATGGTGAAAACAAGCATAAATGCAAACAGATGACAGTCATATCGTTTAGTTCCTTTGGTTTTAAGAGCAGTAACTATAGTGAATTATTAACACTTGATTATGGTCTCGTTTTTTTTCGTGCTGATTTGTGGTTAATTCTGTCCTTTGCCCCAGTCTTTCTGGAAATGCTGCTTCAGTTATTTACTCATAGCTGGCACAAATTACTTGTATTTTTAAGCTTGTTTTATGGAATTTTAACAGATCAGCACTTTGAAGCACATTTAACATTCACAAGCAAAGTTTCCCTTATATGCAAAATGAATAAGTTTTTTTAGACTTACTGAATTCTAGTAATTCTCTCCCATACGTACCTTGTTTATTGTGCACAGTGATTGTCTTCTGTGGAAAGCTTTATTAGAAAAAAAGGAAAGCATTTCCTTAGAACTAGAACAACAGCGGCTTTTCATCCTCTTATACCAAGTTAACTTCCAAAAGATTTTTAACTCCCTGTTTCCCAATGCACACTAAATTTTTAAGCCGCACAAAAACTACACTTTTTTTTATTAGTATAGTTATTTTTTGAAAGTTCAAACAACTAATAGTACACAAAGTGAACCCTTTCTAGTTGTCACAATCTCACTATTAGGTTGAATATTTAATGTTTTGAAGTACTTAAAAGAATAAGGCTAATAACTTCCCCCACTACAAATGTTTTGTGGGGATAGTGGTGCCTGATTTATTGGTAAAATAATGTAGTTTATTTTTTTAAAAAAAGGGGAAGAGTAAAATTTTCATAGTCATGGCTGTCCAATGCCAGCAATTTTGTGGGAGACAAATTTAAGGTGGGATTGTTTCCAAAATAGTACAACTGGGAGATAAGAAGAATCTTCCCTCTCTCTCTCTCTCCCTCTCTCTCTCTCTCTCTCTCTCTCTCTCTCTCTCTATATATATATATATATATATATATATATATAT